ACAAAGATCAAGAAACAAAGAAGATAGAAAGGATTACACGTAATCTTCTGGCCATAAATCTATTGAGGGATGAAAAGCTATTCTTGCGCTTAGGATAACTAAGGCAAATTCTGTTTTGAAGATCGCCCTGCAACGCTGCATCGAGGCCTGTATGCTTCTGAAGATCACATCATTCTGCCCAAATGGACCAGCACATAGTAATCACAATCTCCATAAAGAAAGGCAGCTGAAGCTGATTTTTGAAAGCTTCAAAGATCTAGAGAGGAGTGGCGCCAACTAGAATAAGCGGGTGCAGGGTGTTCCAACAAGCCATAGCAATTCGACAGAGGTAGTCCACAATAATCTATATATGGCGTCTAAGTTGTCCGTTGTAGGCCGGTTCTAATAAGGCATGGATAGCTCAATCAACACGTGCATGATGCGTTTCATGCGTATACACATGAGTGGGTACAGGTTGATCCCTTCATCAGTCTAAGTCTAAATTCAGTGCACACAGTAGCTTGCGCACCTTTCTTTCAGCTTTGGTCTGGTGTTCACACGCCGCCTACTTGGCGTCGCGAGAGCGTGCACATGCCAAAGAAACGCTTTGCGCCCACGGATCTCTGCAGCTCAGGTAGCCACCGGCGGCCCCAACTAATCGCTCACGTTCGAGTCGCCGCTGAACTACCAGCAAATAGTAGTAGGAATAGTTTTCTATTGGCAACTTGTATGCCAATGCCCCGCGATGAAGCAACGCAGCAGCGGCCACCGCCCGCATGTTTGACTGGCCGCTGGCGACCTCCGCACTAGCTTGCTGCTTGCCCTCCATACCAAACGTAGGTAGATCACCTCCTCGCTGTCCCTATATAAGTACACACCGGTCACCCTCTCATCTTCCATCTCCGATCCATCCACGCCTTCCAGCCTAAGACCTACAAGTCCAAGAACGTTAGCGACGTGAGCCAGAGAGTTTTCTCAGCACCTCCCGTCGTCAATCGTCATCAGCTAGCCATGGCCGCCGGTTTCGAAGCTCTTCTTGACCCCACCGCGCTCTCCCTCGCGCTGCCGACGCCGGCGCCGAGCCCGGGGCTCAAGCTCAACAAGGAGGACTACCTCGCCATCTGCCTCGCCGCGCTCGCCGGCACCCGAGGAAGCGGCCTCAGCAAGGCCGCCGCCGCTGGGTTCGGGTTCGCGCGGCAGCAGGAGGGAGTCGGGCAGGGACACGGCAATAGTAAGCAGCAGTGGTGCTCACCGCCGCCGGCCCCCGCGCACGAGGAGGAGCTCCGGTTCCGGTGCGCGGTGTGCGGGAAGGCCTTCGCGTCCTACCAGGCGCTCGGCGGCCACAAGTCCAGCCACCGCAAGCCGCCCACGCAGGAGCAGTACGTCGCTGCTCTTGCCGCCGCGGCGGTTTCCGCGCCCGACTCCGATGAAACGACGACGTCGTCCTCGGGAGGTACCGGTGGGCCGCACCGGTGCACCATCTGCCGGAGGGGGTTCGCCACGGGCCAGGCGCTCGGCGGGCACAAGCGCTGCCACTACTGGGACGGCGCGTCGTCGGTGTCCGTCTCCCTGTCGGCGTCGGCGTCGGGGTCATCGGGCGTCACCGTCAGGAACTTTGACCTCAACCTGATGCCTGTGCTGGAGAACGCCGGGGTGAAGAGATGGGTCGAGGAGGAGGAGGTGCAGAGTCCACTGCCGATCAAGAAGCGCAGGATCTCGGATTAATTAACTCTCACTGCCTGTGATTGAGATCGTGTGTCCATAATCTCGGTTCATGTAAAAATGATTGGTTCGTTCTTTTATATACACTAATAAATTATTCGATTTTTCTACTATAAAGTTCCTACTTACCCATCTGTGTTTACTAAGAATTTTGCGATCAAGATCTTGAACTCTCCTCTCCTCTTAATAATCAACTTCAACTCCCGTGTCTCTCCCTGTTCTGATTCAACTAATTTAATTAGTTGTGCTGACGACTTTTTATTAATAAAATAACCGGAAGTTATAACTCAAATTTGGAAGTCACCGACTTGGATGAAGTATTTTCATCCAAAAAAAAAAAAAAAACAAATCACCGACTTCCAATCGATGAAAATGGAGAACATTTTAACTGATCCGATCAGACAAGAAAATTACAACGAATAGCTAGGAAACACCTGCTGGTATTTTACCAAACCACGTAACTTAACTAACATTAACCGTGTGGATAATCTGCAAAGCGGTCGCAAGGATCAAGTATTCAGTCATATATGAATCTCTAACGGTTTAGGTCAACAAGGACGATTTAATAAAACAGTTATAGTGGAATTTGTCTATCTGGATTCACACTACTACAACACAGCTTCGGAGGCGCCAACATCACCCACGAGAACTGATTTATTTAGAGGCGGCAATAACGTCCATCTCGGAATACTCATCTATTTAATTAAAAGCACATATTACACACGTGGATTACAGTGCTCGTCTCTGTAAATCAGAAAAGGAAAATCGACACCCTATAGCCAAGAGCTTGCTGTCGAGCTCATCATGTTGGTGTCATGGAGCCACCACGGGCCATGGAACTGAGAGAGGGGCATTGGCGGGAGATGGAGGTGCCCTAAATGAAGGAGAACTCAAAGGGGTGAAGAAGTTGGAATTAATATATAGATATTGCCTCATCGGATCCCTATGTGCACGTGCGCCACATGCCACCGCCAGAGGGCGGAGGGCATGCGCCACTTCTAGAGTAGGGCATAGGCTGCATGGGCCACATGCATGCTGCTACTAGAGGAGAGCATCGGCTGTGTGCGCCGACGTCTCCAGAGAGGCTGGGGCATGCTCCCATCTCCTCCTTGGAGAGACAATGCACATTTTCTTGTTGTGTTGCGTCATGCCCTGGGGCATGCCCCTGCATGGTAAGTGGCCGACACAGCCTCGTGGGCAAGAGGCAACAGAACGCCGCCAGGGCTAGGGGTGCCGCAACTCTAGCGTCCTGTCAGGCTTCATACTGTTTTTAGGGCCTCCCAGGAGATTCCTCGCGTCGCTGTGGGTGGAAGGTTGGTCGGCACGACAGGGCATGACCCCATGACTCCTGGTCTCCTTGGTCGGCCATGACCATTGGTGCTAAGGCCGGGGTTGCTCAGGAGTCCATGGAGCTCAGTTGCTAGCCTGACCTAAGTCATTTTTTTCAAGGTCATGAGGTTGTTCTCTAACAGGGCAACCTTGGGCCTGTTGGGCCATTTTCCACTATCTAGTGGGGGTACGAGTGCACTTGCTGGGTGTAGCTCCCGAGCCCCTGACGGGTTAAGGAAATCGGTCAAGGGGTTAATCATAGTTTTATGACGCTAATCCAGGAGTTTATGTGACCCTGCTATTAGGTACTCAACAGGTGAGGTTGTGTGTTGCTACCAGTGAGAGGTGATTGAGGAGAGTGAGAGGGGGCGTTGGCGTGAGAAGAAGGTGCCCTGCGTGAAGCTTAACTCAAAAGGGTGAAGAAGTTGGAATTAATATATGGATTTGCCTCGTCGCATCCCTGCGTGCACATGTGCCATGTGCCACTGCCAGAGGTGGGGAGGGCATGCGCGTGCATGCTTGCGCTAGACTACCATAGGAGGGCATGGACCATCCACCCCCCTCTAGAGTAGTTGCTCCCGCGTACCTCCACTAGATCTCCACACGTTGGCGTTGGATCTCTACACTCTACCGTCGAAGGAGAGTGTGAGGGGGTGAGGGTCGTGTGGTGTTGCCTGAGGTGCTAGGAGTGGGCCTCTATCAGGGAGAGGGCATCGGGAGTAAGAAGGGTGGGACACGCTATAGAGAGGTTTGGCCTCTTATGAACTTTTTTTTTCTAGTGGTGGTTCTTTACTCTTTAGGCCGCCTCTAAATTCAAAATAATTGATTTACATATAGGGAATCTGTCCATTTAACCTATGATGAATTGATTTCTAGATGCGGTGGCCATATATACCTGCCTCTTTAATTTAAATCCTAAGTCCCTTGAAATCATTTATATAATGCAAAATAATAACTCCTTAGTAAAAGCACGGCATGCTTTAGAATTTGGCAAGAAATGGATGGCAACGAACACTACGTACACATCAAGACAAACACATACTCCCTCCGTTTTATTTTATCTGGCGCAAGTTAGAATGACACGGTCTCCTAGATTACACTTTGATCATTCATTTGCTTTACATTATATTATTTATGTTTATAAACTTATAATATTTGGATAGTATAATTTCTTACAAATCTAATCATATAAAATTTGTATTATAATAGTTAAAAGTTATTAGCTAATTATTTGTCAAAGTTTTTAAAGTTTAAATTTTGATACACGTGTGCGATGGATAAAATGTAACCGAGGAGGCAGTATATACGCAGAAAGTCCCAACCGTGGAGCGCCGCCGGCGGGCTGCTGCAAAAATAAGGTCAAGTACGCAGTCGAAAGGTGGTCTGTTCATTGACCGCACGCAGATGCGCGTTGCATGTCTCTATTCTTTCGTACGTCCGGAAATGGCAAAAGGCTAGCACGCAGAAACGCAGAAACACGTGTTATATTGTATAGCCCCAGGTTATAGAGAACGGATGAGTGTGCTACCCCGGTCTCAAATTTGCCATTTCCGGGAAGCTGCTGCAAGAGTGCCGTAGGACAGCGAAAAAAGCGTTGCATAAATATATACTGGTACCCCCTATGGGCAACTTGGCTGCGCCGCGAACCAACGCAGCAACGGCCAACCGCCTGCATGTTTGACTGGATCAAGTGCGTGCGTGCGATTGCGTACTACTCCACTTGTTCACTTGCTCCACCAACCAAAGCATCACACGCCACAATCGATCTCGTTAAATTTTCTCACCTGGTCTGTCTGTCTCTGTTTTCCTGCTATATATTCACACGTACAAGCCCACAAACTCCAGCTCGATCGCTCCAACTCATCGCCGGCGGCTAACGTAGTACGACGAACGCAAGATCGATCGATCGAGCTAAAAGTCCAAGGACACAACAGCTTCTTCTTCTCATCAGCTGCCTGCTGCTGCTAGCCATGGTTGCCGGGCTGGAAGATCTCGTTACTGACTCGACCGCGCTCTCCCTTGCGCTCCCGGCGGCGGCGGCACTGGCGCTCAGCAAGGAGGACTACCTCGCCATCTGCCTCGCCGCGCTCGCCGGCACCCGCAAGTTTGGGCTCGGTGGCGGTCGCGAGCGGGAGCAGGAGCAGCGCCAGACGACCAACAAGTGGTGCCCGACCCACGCACCTGCGCAGCAGGAGCTCCGGTTCCGGTGCGCGGTGTGCGGAAGGGCCTTCGCGTCCTACCAGGCGCTCGGCGGTCACAAGTCCAGCCACCGCAAGCCGCCCACGCCGGAGCAGTACGCCGCTACTCTTGCCACACCGGCGTCCGGGGGTGACTTCGACGAGACGACGGCGTCGTCGGGATCGGCAGGAGGAGGGGCGGCTAGCGGTGGGTCGCACCAGTGCACCATCTGCCGGAGGGGGTTCGCCACGGGCCAGGCGCTCGGCGGGCACAAGCGCTGCCACTACCTGGACGGCATGTCCGCGTCCGTCTCGGCGTCCGCCGGGACGGGGTCGTCGGGCGTCACCGTCAGGAACTTTGACCTTAACCTGACGCCACTGCCGGAGAATAATAACGCCGGGATTAGGAGGTGGGCCGAGGAAGAGGAGGTGCAGAGTCCATTGCCCATCAAGAAGCGCAGGATGTCGGATTGACTGATCAATCTCGTCGTGTCTGTCGGTTCATGTAAAAATGGATCTACGCCATCATTGTTTAGTTGATCTGTTCGGTTCAGTTTCTGAACATAAATTCTTTCAATTCATTGATTCATTACTTTGTTTCCATCAGTTAATTCGTGTGTTCTGGCGCCTTCAGACGTCGGTAACAATTTGTGTCGTGTTACTCGTGTTTTTTTTTTCTGTGTGTTTTTTCCATGTTCCAAATAATGTTAGTTGATATAATACAATATTTTCATTGTTGCAAATAATTTTTTTTATTCAAAATGTTTTATGTCTTATAAAATTGTATATATAAGAGTTTTTGTTTTGGTTGGAGCTGCCCTTAGCTCAATTGGTTAGGTTCTTATGATAAGACATCTCCACCCAAGATTCAAATGGATGTCCTCGCATTTTCCTAGGTTTATTTTCAAGATTTAACAATGTTATTTCTTTAGTGAGAAGAGATGTGTCCGTCAATAACGAGATGAACACGGCGACTTATGTTAATCTCGAGATTTGTCAATTCAGTCTTTTGGAGTAGAGGTATGATGTAGAATACTTAGTTATTAGGACCGGTCTGGTGGTACAACTAGAAAAAAATCGAACTAAAGTTTGATTCGTTTTGGTTCAATTAAAAGATCAATCATGTATTTGTACTGAAGAAAGCCAGTTGAACTAGAGGTTTCTGAACAAAAACCAGCGAAAACCAGGCATAACAACCGCTGGAACATTGGGGTGAGAAAAAGAGTAGGAGGCATGATGGATAATTTCTTTTTATTTTTAATCTTTTCTATTCAATATTTTAATATTAACTCGAGCGAATAAGTATATATTGCATGGTCTAACCCATCTAAAGTGTCCAATTTTATCATTGACAAAACAATATTCATATGCAAAACATCCATTTGTTATTAACAAATGGATATGGATACAAAAGTATCGGAATTTTTCATTTTAGATATGGATATGGGATGTGGAAAGTGAAAATCTCAATGGACATGTCGATCATAGTGGTATCTAGTAGGAATTAAAAAAATAACTAATATGCACACTTCCACGCGATTTGTGTTGAATTTCATATTGATATTTGTAAAATGAATACAATAGAATTGATAAATATATTAAATATTAGGTTTGAATAGTTTTTTATTCATGAAAACTTGTCATTTCATTAGAATATTAGCCTTTGTTTAGCAAAATCATTGATTTTTGTAGCTATTATTAGGAACATTGTAAAATAAATAAATACAATCTAAAAATCAGAAAATGAATAAAAATATTAGTTATGACATTTTTTTAACTCGATATTGGGTCAAAATCTTAACTGGGTTTTTGATCAAAATACTATTTTTAGATTTTTTTTTCTCCGTGACAAATCTAAAGTATTATAACTGCTAATTGTTTGTTTTTTTATGTTTCTGCTCCTAAATAAAAAAGAAAATCTTTAGCACTAGGTATGTCGAATGGATTCTACCGATGAAGGTGTATATATACGATATCCAAACTTGGAATCAGGTTTCAGCAACCCGACTTGTATAGTTGTATTAGTATTTGAGAACATTCAAATTTGTATTTGAATTTGTTTTAGAACATGGATACAGACATGGAAAGTGCTTGTGGATGGAACAATTGAACAGCCACACGCTTGAACTTATAATTTGAGATTTGTGTGCATCAAGGAAATTAAAATAAAAATCTCGACAAATTAAATAACAAATGGATTGCTCAGTGAATTCCGAGACAAACCCAATGGTACAATTGCACAATCCTGATTCGTGCAGACAAATTTATTTATATGGTTTAAATAAAATAGCTTGGCTAAACGCTTATCGTGGTGGCAGTACGTGGCATGCCCTATTGCACTTGCACGGACATAATGTGCATAATATGCAGCTTTAACTGGCCTGAGCTGTAACCATGGAGATGCCAGCGCGACGGGCACCAAACCTTGCGACGGCGCAGTCGGTGGCGAAGATATCCGAGGAGACGTAGTTGGGCGCCCCACCCATGATGGGCATCTTGGAGCTGACGCTGAGCTGGTTGACGTAGTCGGCGCGGTAGGTCTGGCCGAGGACGCCGTGCACGTCGTCGGTGAGGTCGAAGAACTTGAACCCGAGGTCGAAGTGCGCGAGGCTGTCGTCCTCGGTCACACCGTAGTTGTGGACGCGCGAGTCCTCCTCGCTGATGGGCACCACGTTGGCGACGATGTCGAACACGCCCCTGAGCTGCACCCTGACGCCGTTGGCGGTGGCGGTCCGGGTGACGGTGAGCCCCGGCACGGCGGCGGATTCCCACAAGGCGCCGGTCTCGGCCGGGATGGTGACGGGCGCGCCGTCGAAGGCCAACTCCAGGCGGTCCACGTCGTTGCTCCACTTGGCCGTCTTCTGCGCGCCCATGTAGAGGTGGTGGTCGCGGTCGGCGCCGCCGGCGGCGCTGAAGCGGATGCCGAGCGCCTGGATCCACGTGAAGTCGCGGCTCATGGCCGGATTCCGCTTGCCGATGAAGTGCGCGTTGATGTGGAGGTTGGCGTCGGAGAGGATGCAGAAGTCCTGGTCCTTCTTGCCGTGGAAGTAGAAGTTGTTGCCGTCGCCGCCGGTGAAGCGCGGGTCACCGCAGGACACGCCGGGGTAGAAGTCGCACACTTGGAAACAAAAAAACGCGAATTAGCTAGCGATGACGGTCGTCGGGAGTACTAGCTAGTAGTGAAAATCAGAGCGAGAAGAGTGAGTGAGGATTGTGTGCGAGTGAGGAAAGTACTGCAGAATGTCTTGCATCCGGGGCAGAGGACGATGCACTGGTTGGGGCAGCGCTTGTCGCACTTGGCCATGCATTTCTGCTTCTTGTCCTTGGGATTGTCGCACGCCGTCTGCTGGTCCCTCTTGTACTTGCCCGGGGTGATCATCTGGTAGTTGGACGGCAGTGGGCGCGGCGCAGGTGCCTGCGCAGCCACACCGAGTGCGGCTGCGCACAGGGCCACCAGGGCGGCAACCACACACGCCGCGGCGAGCTCCCGGGCCATTGGTGGCGGTGACTACAGGCCTCACCTGGCTGGTTCAGGTGAAGGCACGGACGGCTATGAGAATCTGAGAATTGAGATGGCTGTGTGTCTTGGGTGGTGATGAGGCAGGTCAGGGGACGGTGCCAATTTATAGGGTCCGATCCGTCTCGCTGGCCTTGCCTGAAGGCTGAAGCAACCGGCTCCCTCAGGCGCGCGCGGCGTACGTCCCGGCGACGCCAACACATCGTGCTGGCCGCGTATTGAGGTCAGGACTCAGGAACACTTTGCGTTCACCTGGATACATCGTGCAAGCCGCCTGCGCATGCAGCTAGGTTGACATATCCTCGTCCTACGTTGTATCCTTCATCACGTACAATGCTAAGTTGGAAGCCCTGTACGTAATCATGGCTGGGTCGGCGCGATTATACTGAACAAACAAGTAATTGAGTTGACTACTCTACTACTTAATTAATGAGTAATAAACTAGTAAAGCGTTCACCTTTTCATCTTCCTAATCAAGCTCTGGCCAACTTCTGTATTATTTGTGATTGATTTCCTTCGGCCGTAGATGATTACACCTTTCGTCCTGAAATAAATCAATTCCTAAAATTCGTTGACTAACTTTTTCGAAAAGAGTAATAACATCTATGTCATAAAATGAGCACCTTATGAAATTATATTTTATGTTAAATCTAATGATACTAATTGAATACCATAAGTTTTAATGTTTTTTTCAAGAAATTGGATTAAAGTTTAAAATGTTTGACTTAAGACAACTCTAGAAATCTATTTATTCAGGGACAGATGAAGTATATTCTTTGATTAAGATCAATCGATTAATATATACTCCAGTGTCATACATTTCTGGAGATCAACTACCTGATGAAACAGGACACAGAAACATACACAAATATCAGACTGTTGGTGGCAAACGCACACAGGCGCATTCAGGTAGGAATTCAGATAGCGTTTTTTTTGCCATATTGTAATCTGAATTTGATACCGGATACGAATATCCCTAGATGCAAATATGAAACGGACGATCTGAATTTGGGTTCATGTTCTCATATTTACTCGATTCAACTTGAAGCAGTCATCCTAAAATTCAACCAAGACCAATAAAATTCAAGTGCAAGTTGATAGATAGTCAAATTGAACTAAAATTGAAGTGCAGTCATAATAATTTCCCATTGGCTCTCTTCGCTTGAACTTATTAGCCATGTGACAGTGTTTTTCTCTTACAACAAATCAATTTCAGCCGGCTTATCAGCCGCAGAAACCATAAGGAATAACAATATTTCATACAGTGCCAAATCGAAGTGGAATAGAGTCAACCGAATGGCGTGAACTAAAATCAAAGTAGACCCCTATTCTCCAAGATAGAAGTGAACTAAATTCATAGGGGATAATGCTCAATACAGTGTCTAATCCGTGTGAAATAAAATCAAACAACAATGCTGGTCACATTGATGAAAATTACATGCGTTCAACAAATAGTAGAGATAATTCTTCTGGTAGTGGGCGGTAGCACTCCCAAGTCCATCAGGCAATGTCATGCAATAAAGCACCTCTGTTTGCCTATTAACAAAACGATGAGAGAGATATATTGATGAAACAGAGCATATATGACATACCATATATGAGAGACCAAAGTTGACATACCATATATGAGAGACCAAAGTTGAGAAGTGTCTTGGTCTCATCCATGATCCATGCGTGATGAATGATTGGCATAAGATTTGAGAGGTTTAAGGCTTTTCTGGTTGAGTTCATATTCATATATGCTTGGTTATGCTAATAGTTAAACGAAGGCATCATGTTCTGTTACATTGAGTGTGTTGTGCAACATGTCTCTTGGCTTGTGAATGTGCAAGTGTTGGGTGTGCCAAGACGGTCAGCGGCAATGGAGAAGGTCAAGTGTGGAGTCCATGTGCGATGGATCGAGAGCGGTGAAGGGCGGATGAGAAGGCTTGAGCCGAAGGACCAGAGGCCGGAGAAC